CAAAATCAAAAGGGGCCAAATTCCAGCCTTATACGCCCCCGTCCTTTCAATATTGTCACAATAGCCTCTATCGATCAAATTTTCAGTGAATTCAAAGACAAAACTATGAATTGATCGTTCTTTTTTTCATTATAGGTGTGCTTGAGTTCGTTCGATCAATATTTTTTTGATTGGTCTTAAGACATGATTCATGATTAATCTACGCATTTAATGGCAGGTATTGTTCGCAATAAAAAAAAACTTTATGACTCATTTATTTTTCTTCGCATGATATAAATATAAAAGAGACATGTAAAAAGAGAATTGGTGTTATTACGCATACAAACGCAGTGAATTAAACATCTTAATTAAATCAAACGAACAATAAATATGAGTATGTTTTAAAGTATAAAATAGAAGATTTATTTATATTATTTTTTTTTTGTAAAGGTTTTATTACAAGAAAATTAGAAGAAAAACTTGGTGTAGACCTAAATAACGATGGTCGAATTGGAGGACCGGGAGTAACTTCGAAAATCGAAGCAGCTACTCATGTAGACTTTAATCGAGATGGAATTGTTGGTGGATATCGACCACCACCGGGTGGAGGTAAAACAAAAGTAAACTTCAAAATATAACTTAATGATTTTTCTCATTGATAGGCTTGGTTGGTAAAATTGAAAAAGCAACACATATTGACTTGAACAGAGATGGTTACATTGGTGGTCGGCCTGGCTACTGTCCACCACCTCAAAAAAAACACTAATTTCTGATCAAAATATAATGACATTCAAAAAACTAATCTTGCTTTTTTCTTTTTGATACAACTATTTGTCACTAACAGTTTCTGTATTTTCATTTGAATTTTACCATTTATTGCATAGTTCATGTTTAAATAATAAATTATAATAACCATTGTAAAATTAGTTGTAATGGAAAAAAAATGATTTCATCGTTATGCCACGTAAGTCTTATCGGGATTATTTTGACAAGTTATCGTTCAATAGAATTGTTTATAGACGATGTAAATAAATTAGTGAATGACAAAAGTTTCGCCCACATTGAAATGAATTTTTTTTATATTACTTTGACGTATGAGAACAGAATGCAGCACATATATAGAGAGAGGAATTTAAGACATTTATGTAGCACAAGGTGGTGTAAGGAACTGTGATAAGAGAAGTGCCCGTGAGATAGTAATATACGCTTTATTTGGCTTCTTCACGCAACAAGCTTCTGTTCACATACAGAACATACACTCATATAGAAAGGATAGAACAATGGATATCGATCAAGCATAGCGGTCACACCAGAAGAGAAGGGTAACAGGTCACATAGAGACCAAGAGATAGATGAAGGTGATATATCTTATTACAAAGGATAAATGAAAGTATCAGTCTAATTATGTAATATCGGATGATTTTAACGAATCAGGAACCATTTTCATATGTCGTCTAGGCGAATTGGTTTACATGAAACCTTTTAACATGCAGTTGATATTAATGATTTTGTATAAAAGCTTTCGCTTGTCGCCCACATGGATAAAGGCTCGGAAAAACCTTTGACAGAAATCACTCACACAGGAGGTTTTGTAGAAAATATCCGGATCCTTTTTCGTTTCTCAAAGTACGAAAATAGTTCGGTAAGAAAAATACGATACTATCTCACATTCTACAGAACTGTGAAAAGTTTCGTAAGATAACTACGGAATCTTTCACTGCATCAACCACCTACAGTAGATTTCGTAGGAAAAATACGAAACTATCGAAGATTCTCTACAAATCATACAGAAGCTTTCCTTATTCTACCGAATCATACGGAGTTTCATAAAGAAGATACGGAACGTTTTTTTTCTGATCTTAGAGAGGCACAATGGTTTCGTATGAAAAGTGCGAAACTCGTTGCTTTTTTCTGAGTCTAGAAATGATTTAGTATGAAAGATACTAAGCCTGTCGAATTTTTCTGAATCAAAAAAGATTTGGTACGAAAAGTGCGAAACGATTTCCATTTTACGAAACTTGTAGGGTTCAGTAACAAACCTATTTTTTTAGCGTGTAATTCGTATCAGAGAGAAGACTCATACACACACCCAAATCTTGATTCGACAGACTGATCCAAAAATGTTCTTCACAGAGTTTAGTGTCTTTGAGCGAGATCGTTGTTTAACAAACTGATGACATAATCAACAATCTTCGCTGTATTGAGACGATGTTTTCTATTCGAAGCCTATAAATAATGCCTATAGATGACAAAAACAAATGATACGAATTCGTTGCTATAATGTCAATCGATGTATTCACAATCGATTCCGAAATATGGCATAATTTATCAAACATATCATAGATCTTCATACGCAATTGCAATGATTCGGTATCTTTGACAACGAGGACCATTTCGAGATACTATCGAAAACGAAATTACTACGATTCATCAATGACTACCGAAGCAAAAAAACCGTAAATTACGTCAGACATGGCGAGTTTGAGAACCGCTTCAGGCTTGCATATAATCGATTCGATCAAATCGTTATATTCTTCGCGTAATTTCTAAAACGAAATCAACATCATCAATGACTATTTCAAAGAGAATCGATAGGAAACTTTTCCGTTTCAGTGATTGAAAAAAAAGCGTATATTTTCCTCCTATTTTACCTTTTCTGAGTTGATGATAGAAACGAAGAGTAGATGTTCCGTCCATCGAATGGTTTTGCTTACTGTACATTATTGAAAAGGCTGTTGAAGACCACTGTGCTAATTTGGCAACCACTATTATATTTCAGATTCATTGCCCGTATGAAGGATTGAGCCATGCTTTAATTCGAGCACAAAGTCACATACATGGATTTCTCTCGACTTGGTATGTATTTACGTATTTCGAGAAGATAATAGCATCAACTAATCAGTGGATCATCGATCTTTTTCAGGTCATTTATTGACATGCCAGAAACAGAAACATGTTCTACAAAGACATTGTCAAAATGATTTCAAAAGAATCCCATATTCTTCAGTTCTTTTTTACCAATATTTTCTCCCATGTCATGTCGGAAAGAGTCGAAGTTCAAATACGAATAATATCTGCAAGGGTGATGACTGCATAGAGCTGAATATGGGCTTGCCCATTTGAATAGAAAAAAAACCAACGAGTAGAGTCTTGAATAGGTCGATGAAGAAGCGACGCTTTTCGTGGTTTTGAGGGCCGGTCTGTGGTAGATATTGATTTATTGGAATGATCAAGTTAGATCGAAATGGATGCCACGGAAAATGTGAAGAAGTCTACTGTCAAATTATCAAGTAATTTGTTGGTTGGCAAACTGAGTGAAGTACTCAACAGCTTGTGATAGTTGGATATAGGGCGTCAGATATTATGCGGAATCAATGGGAGGAAAGCATACTTCTGTACTTCAGAAGTACACTTCCCCCCCCCTTAGATTAAGTGTCACAAAAAGCTTCAAATAAGCCAAGATAGTTGTTACAGATAAAATTACATGAGTAAGAAATACTAGTTCCTTTTTATAATCTATTATTAAACTGTACAAGAAATAGAATATTTTGATAATATTTTCTTTTCAAAGTCAAAGAAACAAAATGTATATATTACTAAATTTAATAATAATATTTAAAAACTTGATTATTATATTTCATGTATTCTTTTTTTATTATTAATAAATATAACTGTTCTTGCACAACTTCGGATGGAAAAAGTTCACTTTAACATTCAATAATATGAGGTCCTTTTATGTTATTTTCTTCTTCTTTTAAATCAAGTAAATCGTGTGAACCAGTAACAATCAAACGATATGAATGTGCTAAAATATATTGATGCATTTCATGTAAACTCACATCAATACGAAATGATCCATTATTATTATTCATTAATTCTAATTGAATAAAATTAATATAGTTCATTGAATCACTTGATGCAATTTTTTCTGAAGAATCTGTACTGGAAAAAAGTGATATATTAAAATAATCAAGACTATGTTCAGGTACAAGAACAATAGTTACAAATTGATTTGGTTTACAATTAAAATAGTAACGATCTGTTTCATCAATTTGACTTATTACACCCAATATCATAAATGAACAATCTAATTCTTCGTCAACATGTGATTCATCCAGCACTTCAACTAAATCAAAATCATGAGTTTCATTTGTTGTCCATTTTACGGAAACACTATGATGTCCTGCTAAATTCATTGTATTATGAGGACCGGTTGGTCCAAGCGGACCTAATGGACCTAAAGCACCTAATGGTCCTAAAGGGCCTAAAACACCCCATAATCCTAATGCTTGTAGATGTTTACCAAAATCATTAATCGAGGGTAGTTTTAAATGATATGATTCCGATGATAATGGACCTGTTAATGAAAGAGGATTATTAGAACGTCCAAATAACATATCTGATGTTGTCCAATCAATTATTTCATTTGATCGAAATCTCCAAGTTGTTGGATTCCATAGATAATGTCCAATAGGACCTGTTATTCCTAATGGGCCATAGGCACTATATATTTTAGATAAAAATCAAATCATATTTTAATAATATCATTCAGTTTTACCTCAATGGACCATGTGAACCTAAAGCTGAACTTGGACTTAAATAAAATTCACATGATAATCCACCACAATCAATTGGTAATGGTTCAACTAAATGTATATCCTGATGTAAGTCTTCAAGACTTGATGCAGTTACATAAGGCCCATAACATATTTTTTTTGTCGATGAAATTTGAATAAAACTAATCGATGATAATAATAATAATAATAATAAATAATTATAATCCATTTTTTATAAACGTTTCACATGAATATTTTGAGGTTACTACAGCAATTGGAACGGCGAAATTGATTCTACTTATAGGTTTTTTTGTGCATGAGAAGAAAAACAGATGAGTAAATATTTGAATAAAATAATAACTTATTTTGCTTTGGCTACTTTGCACCCATGAAAAGATCACAGCTTCGTATCGAAAAGCCTAAAAGTTACAATTACTGACAAATGCTTGCTCATTTGATGCTATCATCGTACATGTAAATCGAATTCTAGTGCAACAACAAAAAAAACCGTTTTCGAGTAAGAAATTTAGTCAATACGAGTACATTTATTTGTTTCATGAAATAGTTAATTATTGACACTAATTTGTATCAAACAAAATGCCTATAATAATAATGTTTATGATGATGAAGAAAACAGTATTTTCAACATAATTGTGGTCTTCATTTTAAAATCAGGTACCATACAGATAAGATTAGTTTTTGACTGATGATATAATGCATGTACTTGAGAATGTTTACAGAATATTTTGTACATTCTTTCGTATTTTGTTATGGCGTTTGTTTAGATAATATGTTATTATATAGATTAATACAAGTGTGAAAGATAATTTTTTTTTGTCTAGTTGAATGTAAAATCATAATTTGTCATCACGTTTTACTTTAGTTCAAATATTATCATTACCAAAATACTTCATATTCGCACACAGTCTCATCTATCTAGTTCATATACTGTCATTAAGTTAAAATAGTTACATGAAAAAAGAAAAGAGATAATTCTTTATAAGACTTGGGAAGAAAAACAAATTTTGTAAATTAACAGAAGCTGATTAATGGTCATTTTTGTAGATTCTTATCTCGATATGACTTTCTCAATGTAGACAAAGCATTTCAATTAGTTTCTAATAACAATAATAATAAACATCAAGATCTATATTACAAAAAATATTCGCTTTCTTCGAAATTTAATATTTTATTTGATACATTATTTGTCTGATGAAATGAACTAAATACATATCTATATAGATTTCATAGAATTATTCTCTTCAATAACCACTCAATATTAATCATGTTATAACGGGTTTTATCGAGTGTATTTTTGTTATCATACACATATTGATTCATTTCTCACCTCTTCATTCACTTTCGAGTAGCAGTTTATCATACGATAAATCAATCAATATAGGTGCCGAAAGAAATGCAATAGAAAATTTGTTACAGACTTTAAGATCTATCAGATAAGTTCACTTGTGCCTAAAATAATGGGATTATTTACAAAAATGCTTTTATTTTACACAAACTGTTCAGTAATCTTGCATTTCATCGTTTAACCTAAACTAATATGTAAGTTTTCATGTTATAATACTAGAACTAAACATCGATTTCAGCTTCGTTTAGGATTTTTTCCGATGTATTTTAATTGATGGATTGCACTAGATATTTATCGATATATGGTTGGATTTCATTGTACATCAGCAAATGATACTCATTTTCATTATTAATCGACAAGAAATACGAACAATATATATATATAATATCAGATAGTTTTCGACAAGCGTGATTTGAGAATTCGTGATGATTGAGCACGTCACAAAAAAAACATTTGATCATATTGTTGTAATTCAATCGAATAATGATGAACACCCAATCTTTGGCGAGACATTACACAGGCATCAGAAGCATTTGAATTGGAGGTAAATGATACCAGACATTTTTGTTTAAAATAATGACACAGAGAAAGAACATTAATCTCAGTATATTGAATTGCATACACTTATATACGTCGTTGACTTCTCTATTGCTCATAGCGTCACTCGACCGAACAAAATTGAGTAGCTTGATGTAAGAATTCCTTTTCCTCAATCAATCACTAGAATGAAGAACAAAATGCGAAGCATGAGAGGCACTTAGTCTATTAGTGAGATTCGTATGGATAGAGTAGTTGAAATTGTACAAAACACTATTAACTAGAAAAATGAACTATTTTTTTAACTAAACATTTTATGACTATGTTTATCATACCTGTTATATGATTTATAATAACGATCATCGCGACGAATTTGATATTAAAACTGCAATGAAACAAATTGTCAAATGAGTTATCGTTATTCAAGAAGAGTTTTAGTAAAGGATAATAATGAGGCATTCAAGTAAACCATTTTTTTTTCTTTTCAATTGTCGAAGTGTTCGTTTTATGGCTTCTTATACTTGAAATTCTGTAAAAATAATCATGCATTAGATAATAAAGAATTCGTTATTAATTTCTGTGAATTCATTTTATCAAAAGTCATATTAATTGCAGAAATACACTATCCTCTATTGCTAGAATTCTACAATTGACTTTGACTTTGTAGAATATTAAAGTTTTCAAAAACCGACATAAAACAAATTGAACATATAATAAAAACTAGAAAAGAAATATGATTAATGTTTACATTACATGTCTCATTACATGGGACTCATTATTATGCATATTATATTGCTGATTACGTTTTTTTTTTCAAGCAGCTTAGAAAATGTCAACAATGTGATTATAAAATAATTGTCAGTATTTTATCTCATAACCTAAAATTCATTTGTAAATTTGTTTGTATCATTAAAACTCTAAATAGTAATAACTACTAATAAGACCTTTTAGCTATCTATATAACAAAAATAATAATAATAATTTCTATTTCTCGAAATAATTATCTTGTAAAAATTTTCTCTTTCTCCTTTAAATCAATCAAATTGAATTCTAGACCATAAATCTATTAAATTATTCATAGTGAAAATTCTAATTTGTCAAATATTTTTCCAAATATGTATTTCAAAAAACAAACATAAGATCGTCATGGTTTTCATATATACTGCTCAAATATTCTACTCTATTACAATAATAAAATGACTACATTCTATAATATGAATACACAAAAAAAAACAAAAATTATAATAATTTGATCAAAAAAACACATACATAAAGCATTATTTTTTTTTATCATCATCACTTTTGTTGAGCACAAATAGAAAAAAAATTTAAAATAGAAAAAAATGTCCTGAGTTATAAATGTATTAAGGATATACACCTGGTGTTGTTGTAAATCGTGTAAAAGATGTTGTTGTAAATGGTGGTGGAAGCGTATCATTAAATACACTTGCGTATGTTGTTTTAAGAGAATTAACATAATTTTGCATAGATCGATTGTTATTATTTGATTGTTCAAGTCTATCACGTAATTCACCTAATTGGGATGTATAACGTCGTTCAAGTTCATCTTTTTCTCGTTTTAATTGAGTACATTCAAGTCGAAGTTTTGATATTTGTTGTTCGAAATCATTTATACGTTGTTGAAAATGACGTTCCTATGTAAAAAAAAAAAAAAAAAAAGATTAAGAATTTTTGAAAATTATTTCGAATACTTACTTTAGAACCAAATGTATCCTCTCGAGCTTTAATATCTGTTTGTGTTAAATTAATTTGTTTATTCATCGATGCTAATTCATGTGTTTTAGCGTTGAGACGAGACTAAATTTAAGAAAAAAAAAGGGATTAAAATTAACTAAGTCTTTTCTCATATAAACAAGCTATAGGTTATAATGACATTCAATGAATTTAATCATTCAATATGATTTATAAAGATATATTTCCTATTGGTAATTATTTCATTGACAAGCCAAGAACTGAAAATTAAGTTAGATAAAACACAAAACAAGACATCATTCATTGCATCTGAGCAATAGAGCTTATTGAGTACGACGTTTTTGGATATGGACTCGTATTTTCAATAGAACTTATCAGCTTCCGGTTCAAGATGAATTTGACAGGCTCTATTATAGTATCTATTGATGATAATCACATGCAATTAGCATCATAAAGAAAAGTTTTATTTTGTATTGTCTCTTTTTTTTGTCAAATAAATTCAATTACATTTATTATAATATATCGAATATTATCTTAGAACTGAATCCGCTCCACAGAAAATTTTCAAGCTCACAATTTGACAGGTACCCCGTATTATGTATACTCATTAAAGCTCTAGTAAGTAGATACAATTGAATTTTCTACGAAAAGAGAATGTATCTGACTTCATATACTGGTTATTATTGATTGTACTTGATCATTTTTTTAAGAATTCTTCTGACATTATCTCGATAGAATTTCAATCGTTTCTATTGAATCTATTTGTTATCAGTGCACAAAGAAAAAAAGAATTTATTCAAAAATTTTTTCTATACCTGTGCATTCCGTAATGCTTCGTCTTTAGCATTGAGATTTCTTAATAGAGTAGCATTCTCTTCTTCTAATGTAATTAATTGTCTAAATATAGATTTAATATTTAAAAGAAAAAATTATTTCTATTTTATTGATATACCGTTGAAGTGATCGTTGATCACCATCGAATGAATGATGATTTTCTTTCATTCGATCAATAATATGATGTTGAACATTTGTCTAAAGACATAATATTGAAATTTTTATTTTTTTTTTTGTTTTAAATTTAGATTTTACTTTTGAATTAAGTTCAGTTATAATAGCTGATTGTTCAGCTAAACGTTTTTCTTGTTCAAGAATACGTGTTTCAAGTTCTTGATTTTTCATTTCAGCTTCTCGTAATAATTCTGGTAATGGTTCAAGTTCTTCAAGTCGTTTTTGTAATCGAACACGCATTTTTTCTAATTCTATTTCAGATAAATGATTTTTACTATTATCAATAGATGTTTTCAATGTTTGAGTATGTAATTGTTCTTTATATTCAGCAACTAAACGTTCAGCATGTTCAAGTTTTGTACGTAAACGAATAATTTCAGAATTCGCATCAACTATTTGTTCATTTTTATTACCATATAATTTTCTTTCAAGTTCATCTATATGATGATCACGATCATTTAATTGAGCTTGTAATTTTTCAATAGTTATACCTTTAGTTTTAGCCACAACAGTTGGTGCAGAAGAAGAACAGGATGTAATAGGAAACATAGGTGTACGTTTAATTGATCGTTGAAGATTATCACATTGATAACGACTACGTTGTAGATCACGTTCTAATGACTATAATTTTATAGAAAGATTACAAATAGAAATAATATATTTATAAATGACTGAAGTATTCGTTTCTTTTCATTTTTATTCACAGACAGACATTTATATTTATTAAGTATATTGAAAAAATAGATCTAATGTTTCGTCTAGAATTTATGTCCACAAAAACAACTTAAAATAATGACACTAAGTGCTGATATTAATTTATACAGAGACGATTAAACTACAAATGATGTCAATCTTTAGAAAAACTCAATCACCATCAGTATGATTGATTCATAATCATTTTGATTATTACTTACTTCTACGTTCGTAGCCAGATATTATGTAAGGGAAAAAGACATCCTATATAGTAAATGATTATTTTTTTTTCTCCTATATTCTCTTTTAGACTACTTTTATCTTAGAAATTCAATTTGTCTGTTTGTATTCGTTTTTATAATTTTCAATTAACATATAACTTTTTTTAAATTTGATGTTAATGAAAAAGAAAAAAACAATATTAATCTTTGTTAATAAAAGTCAATAAAACTACGATAATAGTTAATTTCATACCCGTAGAGCGCATTGAAGTCGATTAATTTCTCCTTCTTTTGCATAAAGTTCTCGTTGAAGATGAGCACGATTATGTTCTAATGATGTTTTCATTGTATCAAAACCAATAGCATGTGTTCTTACACGTTCAAATTCAGTTTGTAAAGCAATATTATCATTTTCTCGATCAAGTAAAAGACGTCTTATTTGTTCATTTTCATTTTGAAGTCCATGTACACGTGTTAATAAAGTATCTTTTGTTTCATTAATAATAGCATGTTCAGCTTCTAAATGATATTGATGACGAATAAAATCTGTAAGTTTATTGTTTGAATGCTCAAATTGTTCGATTAAATGTAATAATTGATTACGTTGTTGATTTAATTGTTCAACTTCAAATGATACTGGTTGATGTTCCTAATATATATATATATAGAAGAAAATTGAACAAATAACTTCTTTTTCTTCTTATACAACTATGAAACAGAAGCCACATAACCATATACACATGGAGCAGTAGAAAAGTATTTTTATTCAGCTCTTCGAAAAGCCATCATTTGACTTCAAGTATTCTTTTATAATGCTTCGATATATTTAGAATAATGTATAAAATTTTCAACCTTTTAAGTTTTATACATTATTGTATTTTTTATCATTTCTTTCACACTAGTTACATACACCATTTTCGATATGTATTGAAATTTTCATCAGAACAGTTTCACACTATGATTTTACTTGCAACTACAATCTTTCTATTAAGGACAAAGTCCAATCTAAAGTAAAACTAGTCTGTTCTACAACGGTATAAACCGATCTCACGTTCTCGATTAATCAATGAACAATCTAACATATAGTGAAGTTTGCATCGCATTGAAAGAGTTCAAACTCATATCGAAATTGATATGTAACTAGTTTGAAAGAAATGAAGAAAACAGAAACATACATAAGACGTAAAAAGCTGAAATTGTTCACATAGTTCTAAATATATCTAAGCATTATAAGAGATTACTTGTACTCCGACAATTGGTTTTTAGAAGGGTCGACCAAAAAAGAATTTTCTAGTACTCCGTGTATATATATATATATATATGTATACATACGAATACGTATGCAAACCACAGATTGAAAGTAAGAAAAATGAAGAAAAATTTGTTCTTTTCTTTTAGTCGTCAATTTTGTTCATCCCATCAGCAGTAGGTTAAGTTTGTCGCATCGTATGTCTCAAATATATATATATATATATATATGTACGACACTCAATTTAATTGTTACAACATACAAAAAAGTCTTTTTGTGTCGGTGCCGCGTAATCACAAAAAAGAAAAGAAATGAAACAATACATAAAACATATCAATTTTGATTTCATTGTCAATTTTGATTATGTTAATGTTGATTTGTGTGTATACAAAAAAAAAAGTAAATATTTCTTTTTTATTTTATACTGAAGTGTTTTTGTTTGAAAGAAAATGTTTATTTACATATTCAATCAGATGACGATATCTGAAATCGGTAAATAAAATTTTTCAAATAAAATTTTAAGTTTAAAAAAGATATGATACTTCATCTTCATCAAATATATCCCAATAAAAGGTTTATATTTCTTTTTTTTTTGTAATATAATCAGTATGTTAAAACTTAAGTGATATGTGTAAATACATACAAGTTTAAGTTTTGTTAGAATATCTTTAACAGATGATAATTGTTTAGTTATTTGTGCAATATCAGCTTCAGATTCTGATAATGATATTAATAATCGTTCACGATCTGGATTGAGATGAAGTGGACCTCGTACTGGTGTTGTACTACGTGCTCGTCTTCTACGTTAATTAAGTAATATAAGGTAGAAAGAAAAAAAAACAAAAGCAACATGTGACTATGATCTACCTTTCAATAATAGGATCATCTGCAAAAGAAATTCTAGGTAATGATCGATGACTTCGTTGTTCACCAGCACTCGATGAACGATAATTATTACGAATTGGAGATGATGAACGAGATATTCGTGATGATAATATATTAGTTGTTCTTTGATTAGATATTTGTGGAGATTGTTCGAGATCACGTAAACATGAATTAATATCTGAACGAAGTTGATTTGTTTGTTCTTGATTACTACGATTTCGTGCCTGAAGAAAAATAAATAAATAAATATCTTTAAAATATTTTTATTTACTCGTTCTTTGAGCATTCCAACATTTTCAATTAATGCTTGAATACGTTTTTCATATATTCGAATTTCTTCTTGAAATTTTTCATCTTGTTCTGTTGAACTATTTGCTGTTTGATTATGAAAATTTTGCTTATCATGGTCAATATTTTGACAATTTCCATCGTCAACATCATTAATAACAAGACCGTCACGAATGGGATTGATTTCCAATCGTGCTTTTGAACTCTATTAAAATTTAAGAAAATAACAAAAAGAAAAATCAAAGAATTTCAAAACAAAAAATACTCTACCTGCCAAGCAAATTTTTGTCCCTTGGTTGATCGACCCGGTGGTGGAATCCTTTATATAAAATTAAATTCAAAAGTTTGATCAATGTATATATATATATTTTTTTTTCTTTTTTCATCTTACCATGGTTCTCGATTAGGTGATGGACTTCGAGAACGAACGGGTAAAACTTGTTTAGGCTGAACAACTTGTTGAGGAATATGACAAGATTTTATTTTACTAGTTTTTGTTTTATTTGTTACGCATGTACGCATCCGAGTTGCTTGTCGTCCTCCACGATTTACTGTGGAAGTATTTTTTTTAATATATAATCCATTATGACAATTATCATGCCATTTATTTTCAACATGAACATCTACAGGCGTAACAGTTTGCATCTGAACAAAAAAAGAGATGAAAAGAAATGAAAGTATGCTATAATTTACTTAAATATGAAAAGAGCTCTCGAAAAACAAACATTTCAATATGTTCAACTATATCCTCTTTTTATCGGCATCGATTTCTTCTTTTTTTTTCTTTCTTTCTCTTGAAACCATATTTCATTCCGTTTTCAATAGACATCCTTGGTTGTATCCTCTTTAAAGAATAAAAATTTTAGAAAAGCGATAGTTTGATGAAATCGACTTTTAGTGACATCTGATCTGTAAATGAAAAATTTAGGAGAATGAATTTATTTCTTTTTTTTTTGTTAATTTAAAGACCAAGATCATCCAGTAACATCATTCATTATTTTTTCTAGATAATTCTTTCAATTTATTGTTACAAATCATTATCGACATTTCACAACATTAGGCGATAAACAAAATAATGCTAATCGACACTTTTTTCGCGATGAATTTTCGAAGAGAATTATATAGAAGAAGAAAAAGTAGAAATAAATGGAAAATGAGATTGAACAATGTTTTATTCATCTTATTCCGGATAAGAAACTATGCAAACAACCACATAAAAGAATCTTTTTAATACAACGTCATGAATTTTCTGTAGACAATTGTCAATATTATAAGAACACTTTTAAAAACTTATTGATAGTATGAGAAAAAGATGCATGTTGATGTAACATTAAGAGTTCTTGAAAAGGTCTATCCAATAATACAGAATGTAGTATACTCGACTATATTTTCCGGATGTCTCATGTTAAGCATATTTCTTTCAGTCTTTGTGTTTCTTCGTATTCTCTTTTATAAATCAGACGCTTTTTATATCCTTGA